ATGACAGTTGTTCTTGGCTGTTCTGGTCTGCCATCCTTCAGCCTCCATCAGGCCTTGCAGGCAGCACTGGCAGTTCCAGGGCAGCAGCTGCAGTGCTTCCTAACCCCTCTGAAAGGGCAGCTGGTTGAAAGGCCTGAAAACACAGAGAAGACAAACTGAGAGTGGCTTATTGGAGTCAGTAGGTCACATCCAGCAGGTTCCTCTCTGGGCTCTGCTTCCCTTGTTTTATCAGCTGTCACAGCCTGCTAAATACTTGCAATAAGAATCCCTCTGGATTTCCCACAGCACCTGTGCTTTCCTGGACTGAGTGTAGAAATAAAATGGTCTAGCTGGTGACTAACAAGATGAAGTGTATATTTGGATTTTGTTGTGGCTGCTTCCTCTTCTCCATGTCACTGAGTGCATGAAGATGTGTGCTGTTGGTGTTACATTAATACACTGACTCAAGGGATAGCCAGCAGTAGAAATGTCTAGAAGCCTTTTAATATTAATGTGCTTCGTTGCCCACATCAAGGTGCTATATATAAAATGGCTACAGGTTAGTATACTAGGAATAACTTTTTACTAGGAAACACAAAATGAAGAGAGGCAGGTAAGCACAAGTTGTCTTATGCAGTCATTTTAACTAATCTACATGTACATTCGTAATAGATATTTGTGGGTTTGTATTTCTTGGTTTGCCTGAACCCGAAGTACTCTTAAAGTTGGTGCCTTTAATATTCCTTGAGATTCTAACCAGTTAGTGCTTAAGTTTTTATTGGGAGAAACCAGCAGCCTACAATGTTTGCATTGAAACTGAGTGTAATATGGTGATAGTCATTGAATTTAAAATATTGCAGCCCTGTCCTGGTTGGTGTGGCTCAGTTGGTTGGAGCGTTGTCCTATACACTGAAAGGTGATGGGTTTGATTCCTGGTCAGGGCGCATACTTGGGTTGCGGGGGTTCAACCCCTGGTCAGGGTGTATATGGGAGGCAACCTATCAATGTTTCTCTTATCACATCAGTGTTTTTTTCTCTGTCTCACCTCTTCCTTCCACTCTTGAAAAAAACAAAACAGTAAAAAACATATCCTCGGGTGAGGAAAAAAATAAATAAAAATAAAAATTGCAGTCCTGACGATAACCCTTCCAAGCTAAGATGGGTCCTGATGACCCTCCCACCTTCTCTACTAAGGGCAGCTTATTGGTTCCCTCTGGCAGTTTGACAATACCATATACTTACTAACTTGGAATAACTGGACCATATACAGATATGCATTAGTTTACAAAAATAGGATGTGGGCAAATTTAGATCTATATAATAGCTAACTTAAGGGTAGAGTGATAGTCACTTGCTTTACCAAAGGAGGCTTATCCACATTTTTCATCAATTTTTAGGAACATGCCAAAAAAGAAAGTTAATTTCCCTCTCTTATTACCCCCCGTTTTGAGAAGAAACACTTTTAGATTCTTTTTGTGAGGGTGATCTTCCTCATGTCTAGTTGATGGGGTCCTCTGTGGAAGAAATTTACCCTGTACAACTTCCTGGTGAGAGCAGATCTGTTGAATATCAGATACAAGCATTTTTCCGATTGCCATGAAAATATAGTCTGTAAAGTGACAGCTGGAGTTTTCAGGGTTTGTGGTGTGTCCAGACTCAAAGCACAATTGTAGGTACAGGTAGAGTAGTTGAGGATATTGGAGCAAATTGAAATATAGTCAACTTACACTGATTTCTGCTGACTTTTGCAAGGTTCTCATTTGGGATCTTTTTACACCATGAATTGACATGGAGAATCATCCATTCTCCTTTGCTTTCAGAGGCTTTATTTTTATTTTATTTTTTTTATCCTCACCCGAGGATATTTTTCCATTTTTTGTACAGATAGAGTGGGAGGGAGAGAGAGAGAGAGAGAGAGAGAGAGAGAGAGAGAGAGAGAGAGACATCGACGTGAAGGGACACATCGAGTGGCTGCCACCCACACGACCAACCAGGGCCGGGGACAAACCGCAACCGAAGTACGTGCCCTTAGCGGGAACTGAACCCGGGTCTCTGGACCGCAGGCCGACGCTCCAACCGCTGAGCCAAACCGGCCGGGGCTCAGAGGCTTTATTTATTTATTTAGGTTAATCCTTACTCGAGGATATTTTTTTTCATTGATTTTTAGACAGAGTGGAAAGGAGAGAAACAGAGAGAGAGAGAGAGAGGGACATCGACATGATGGACTGGTTGCCTCCTGCACGACCCCGACCAGGTCTGGGGACTGAACAGCAACTGAGCTACGTGCCCTTGACCGAAATCAAACCCGTGACTCTTTGGTCTGTGGGCCGATGCTCTAACTGCTGAGCCAAACTGGTCAGGGGTGATGTTATGTTTTTAACCTACTATGTAAGGTGACAAGGATATTTTACTCTGGGTACCCAGACTACATAATCAACACAAGCTTTATAGGAGCAGCTTTGTCTGACCCAAAATTGGGAGATGTTTTTGGTTTTCAGGGATAAATATTGTTTAAAAGACCTCAGAGTGAGATCCTCTTACATGTTTGTGGGGTAAATAAACATCTGCCTGACCACCAGGCACTTCCCAAGAGCTGTGCAGGAGCTTGGTTAATCCAGGGAAGCTCTGTAGCCCTCCAGTTTTTCCTTCTTTCCTTGGAAACCAGATTTTCTACAGGGCTGGGAAAGGAAGACTCAAGAAAACTCCTTGTTTATCAGGGTTTTCTTGGTGACTGGGTAAGCTTTGCTTGTTGCTGCTCAAAATACACCATTAACAGTTCTCTTTCCATAGAAACTGAGTGCTTTCAAGCCACATGCTTTCTTTCTATAGTTGGGATTGCCAGTGCTCAGAGGAATGCTGTCAGCCCTATCCACTTATTTCTTTGTGAAATTGTAGCCTTGTGGGGCCAAATGGCAGGACTGGGCTTGAAAGATTATTTACTGCTGCTATCTGTCTCTCTCCATGTCCTGGGGACCATGTGAAAACGGAGCTCTGGCTTCAAATCACTGCAGTGTCTTGACCTTTCTTCCTTTGACCTGGGGAGACTAAAATGATAGTGAGTATGAGCTAGCTCTTCTGTGCTCAGATCCCTCCTCCCTCAGACAGTCTCTGAAACTCAGAGGCAGGGATGAGACTCCCCAGTTCCTCATAACCCATTTGAAGGCCTCCTTTTCTTATCTTTGTAGTCAACCCACACCTCAATAAAGTGCTTCATTTTTTTTTTTTTTTAATCCTGACCCGAGGACATTTTTCTATTTTTTGCACAGATAGAGTGGGAGAGAGAGAGAGAGGGAAACATCGATGTGAAAGGGACACATCGAGTGGCTGCCACCCGCACGACCAACCAGGGCCGGGGACAAACTGCAACCGAGGTACATGCCCTTAGCGGGAACCGAACCCGGGTCTCTCCGGACCGCAGGCGGACGCTCTAACCGCTGAACCAAACCGGCCAGGGCTAAAGTGCTTCATTTTACCAGCAAACAGCTAGATACTTTGCTTTTCCCCTTGTAGAACAATAGTTAGTTTATGGTTTGAAGGGTCACTGTTAAAGCAGAATACAAATGTTTAAGAATTCCAAGCATCTAGGTACTTAGAGAATGTGCTGGAGGTATGATTACCTCTCTTTGTATTTAAGGTGCTGGTGTTTTAAGGCAAATTGTGTGTTTGTGCCTGTCTTTTAATGTGCTGCAGCATCAGTATATTAAGCTGTTCATGTATCTGAAAATTTCCAAATTATGTGACTTTCAGATGCATTATCTGTCTTTTGTTTGTTTTAACCATCTTGTTTAGCCTATTTGTTTGTCTTAATAGTCAGATTTAATTTTCTTTCTTTTTATTGATTTTAGAGAGAGAGAAAGGGAGAGGAAGAGAGATTGAAACATCGATGAGAGGGAACATCTGTTGGCCACCTCCTGCATGCCCCCCATTGGGGATTTGGCCCACAACCTGGGCATGTGTCCTGACCGGGAATTGAACTGGTGACCTCTTGGTGCATGGGTCGACGCTCAACCACTGAACCACACTGGCTGGGCCAAGAATATTTTTTCATCGATTTTTTTTTTTTTTTAGTTAGAGTGGAAGGAAGGGAGGGAGAAAGAGGAAGGGAGGGAGTGGGGGTGGCGGGAGAGATCAATCGATGTGAGACACATCAGTTGGTTGCCTCCTCCACGATCTCAACCAGCGCTGGGAGTTGAACTTGCAACCCAGGTACGTGCCCTTGACGGAATGGGACCCGGACCCTTTGGTTTGCAGGCTGACGCTCTAACCTCTGAGCTAAACCAGCCAGGGCTAGTAGGATTTCTTTGGATCAGTTTGTGGTTGTTTCACTAGGGGGCAGTTAAGGAACAGACATGAAGTAGAATGCAGACCCTTTCTTTTTCTAAAGAGCAGGATCACTCTTAAGCTCAAGCTGAAGGTGGACAATATCCATGGTTAGGTTTACTTGAGTTTTGGCTCCCTGTGTGAGCACAGATAATGATGCTAGAAAGGTAGAGTCTTTACAGCCTCAAATTCTGGTTTGTGATGGTGTGGTAGACATTTTCTAAACCCAAGGCTTTAGCACAGTAGCTGATAAATATTCTTAATTCCCTCCTTTCATAGAACTGTTTGTATTATCTTTTATCTCTGACCATCACTTTCCCATCAGATAGCTCCCCAGTCACACTGTATCCCTTTGCCCTGCTCTGTTTTCTTCCTAGCACTTACCACTGTGTAAAGTTACCTTGCTTATGTTTTTGTTTATAGTCTTATCTTCGCTCCCCCCTTGAATATTGTACCTCTAGCTTAACATAGTGAATGTCTGGCACGTGGTAGGCATTCAAAATATTGAAAGGAAGGGATATTTGCCAGGAAAAGCACTGATTATTCAGGTATATTATGTGTATTTGTTTCACTTTTGATCTCTGAGAAAACTGAATCTACCCAAACCTGCCTTTTCTGGCCTCCTTTCCTCAATTTTGGCCTGACTGTTGGAAAAAATGAAGATGAATGCTTTTCTGAGTCTCTCCTCTCCCCCACTTTAGCTTGCCAGCAAAGCACGGACAGAGAAGGAGGAGAAGCTGAGCCAGGCCTATGCAATCAGTGCTGGTGTCTCTCTAGAGGGCCAGCAGCTCTTCCAGACCATTCACAAGACGTGAGTTGGGGGAGTATAGGGGTCCCTTGTCATGGCGGGGTGATGCTGCCTGGTTGTGCTCTCTGGTGGCTGACTTTCAGGTAGCTATGTTCCTAAAAGGCACCAGAGAAGCTGGGTAATGTGTTGGCAATACCTGGACATCGAGTGGTATGGATGTTTGTTGCCTTTCCATGTAAAAGAATGGTGTAATTGTAGAAAAAGTTGTCTTCTCTGTCTTCAGTTTTTCATCTGTAAGACTTAATTTTGGATTGGGTTATTTCTAAGGGTCCCTTCCAGACCTAGTATTTCATAATTTAGAGCTAGTGATTTCTTTGTCTTTTATTATTTTAATCTTGTTGCACCTTTCTCTAAAAGCTTATGCAGTTTTATTAAGGAAAAGTTAAATCTATTTTGTTCTTCCCAGTTTACATTTGGATGAACATAGGGAATTAGGGAGAGCAGAAGGCCACCTTATTACCACCTCCTAAAAGACATTTTGTCACAGCAGAAGTCATTTGACTCTCCACTAGCTTCCCTAGTTGCTGAAAAACTGAAACATTTGACACTCCCCCTCCCCCCCTGCTGCCTTCTGTTACCCTATTTAACCACCTGGGTCTGGTGCACAGATGGCAGCTGGCATCAGAGCTGTGTGAGTCCATGGTGTGAGTATCTGAAAATTTACAGGTATGTGAAGGAATTCTCTTAGTAGAGTATCAGCTGTCCTGGGTTTCCCCAAGTGTGAACTGGAATGGGTTTTCCCAGTCTGGCAAGTGCCCAGCTGTCTGATAATTGAGAGGAACCAATTTGAGGAGCAGCTTCCATTTTAGGTAGTGGGCAGAGTACAGGTCACATAGGATGGGGAATTTGTTCTCCTGTTTTCCTAAAGGTGCCATTTCCCCCTACGCCAAAGGTTAGCAAACTACAGCCAGCAGGCCAAATCTGCTTATTTGTTTATATATTGTCTGGTTGCTTTTGTAGTACAGTGGCAGAGTTTAGTAGTTGTGACAGAGATAGTATGCCCTGCAAAGCTTAAAATATTTGTTACTTGATCTTTTATATAAAATATTTACCAATCCCTGCTGTGGGTTGCTACCTAAGTTGATTCTAGTGGCCTGAGCCTAGCTATTTGTTTGTAACTCAATTTGGTTTGGACTTCTGGGGCTGCCACCACGTTTTCTATGGTTTTCCAGGCCACTAATGCTTTAGAGCAACTCTTTTGGGCCCTCCTCAGAGTATATGTGCATCAGTTTCATTGCTTTTCCTAGCCAGTGGTGCCCAGAAAGTGTTTCTTGGCTACTCCTCCCTTTGGGCTGCTGGCAACTATTGTTGGCTGAGTGTTGAGCTCGGAACTTGGGAGGTGCGGGATGCCTGCAAGAGGTAATTTTCACCTGTTCTCTTTTTCTTCCAGCATTAAAGACTGTAAATGGCAAGAAAAAAACATCATAGTCATGGAAGAAGTTGTTATTACACCCCCATATCAAGTGGAAAACTGTAAAGGCAAAGAGGGGAGTGCACTGAGCCATGTACGCAAAATAGTAAGTAAAGGAGACAGACATTACATTTTAGGTAGAGGATGATTCCTTAGCCTTCACTATCCAGGATCAGGAGAGGACAGTGTGGCTACAGTTCCTGCCTCCTCTGACACAGCCAGCTTGTGCGTATCCCTGCTTTGCCACCTGCCTCCTTGCAGTGTGCTGTTCTGCAGTTGTGGCTTGGACACTCCTGTGGGGGTGGAACCACTGCATAGTGTGGAATAAAGCCAGAGGTCATTTGCATTGTGGTCCTCTGTAGTTGTGTGGCTTTTTGGAATTCCATGGTATAGGCCTGAGGAATTTCTCTTATCTCAGCCTTGGTTCTTCTCAGGAAGGGCTGGTTGGAATAAATTAGTTGTCATTGGTGTTTCTGACCCTGAATATGTCACCTGACTTTTTAAATTGAGTTGTAGCATTTCTAAAAACAAACAGCTTTGAAAGACCAACATTGTGGATGTAAAAAGTTTAAGACTAATTCCCCACCAGCTTTTTGTTCTATACTTGTGCGAAGACAGGAGAGGGAGTTTTGGATTATAATCTATCTCTCTAGTTTCTATTTTAGTTTCTAGATTCACCTTCTTTTAGCCATCTTAGCTGAAGCTGCAAAAATGTGGCTGAAATGGGTGACCTCCACCTGCCTTGTTAGAAGGGCCAACATTCAGCAAGGGCTAAGGTGCCTGAATAATCCATGAGCTGGCTGGTCAGCCAGGATGGGGTTGTTGAAACCTGGAATGGACTGTTTGAGAGGCCTTGTGTACCGATCTCCTTTTCTGACCTAGGCTGACTGATCTCTTTCAGGTTGAAAAACATTTTAGAGATGTGGAAAGCCAAAAGATACTGCAGCGTTCACAAGCCCAGCAACCACAGAAGGAGGCTGCCCTGTCATCCTGAGTCCACATACATGGAGGACTCTTCCAGCATCCAGCCAAGGAGGCGATGGTGGTGGCTTCATCGGAGGCAGGCCGGGGGAGGGAAGGGATCCTATATTTCCAGTTGGCTCTTGTTAACAAAGAGTCAGCATTTCTAAATCTTAGACTTGAACAAAAAAAAAACACCCAACAAAAAGAACAAGAGAATAATTTAAAAGTTGAATCATTACTTGACTAACAGACTTTGGTCCACCATGTCCTTTTCACAGCCCCCTTCTGGAACAGTCACCTTGTTAATTTTATTTTTGAAAATTTCTTTCTGGCTCTACCCTTTCACCTCTGACTTTCATTTCCTAGTCTCTCCCTGCCATTTTGTTTTTATAAGTGGCTACACTTGCCTTCTGAATGATTGAAAGAAACTTTTACATCTTCTCTTTCAAAATAAAAATAACAAGCTGACTGTGATACTTAAGTTGAGACTAGAACAGCAGAGGAGGTCTCACTTTAAATTTCCTTTTTTTTTTTCCCTTTTTCTTTTTTTGCACAGGGCATGGCTTGAATTAGTTTTATTTTTCTTAACTTTAAATATATATATGAAAATATATATTAAAATGTTCTCTAAATATTTTCTGCTTCTTGCAGGTCTCTTTTTACTAGATCATGGCCACTCTTCCCACCTCATCCTTCTGAAAATAAAAATGTATTGCCCTCCCCACCACCCATAGCCAGGCAACTAACTTGACTTAGTTCACAGCAAGACTCTCTGGCAGCACTTTGTAGAGCTAGTGTATGCACATGGGAGATGGCTTTGAGGGTTCCTGATGGCTTTTAGTCTTTATGTGTGTACCAATCTCACATTTGGCTGAAACCTCAGAATTCTCCCTCTGCCTTTTGTCTTACTTCATGGTACTAGAAGAACCTCTTCACAACTCTCCTGTCTCCTAGATGAGAGAGTCAGCTGCCCTTTTCTCCAGTGTCCTCTGCAGAACTACTTTGCATGGCACATCTCAGTTCCTCCTTGAGGGATGACATTCTTTTATCAGAAACCTGGAGTCTGTCTGCCTATCCCAAACTCTCTTTAAGTATGTATCCAGAGTCACCACCAGCCCAGGAGAAAACTTGGGTTACCTATGGTTTCTTTTCTGCCAACCTCCTACTCTTATGCCCACGCCCATTCCCTTTAAATTTTACAAGCTTATGACAGTTTGTATGTGCTCAGCCGATGGGCAGAAAGCCTGGAAAGAATTCTGGACTTTAGCCTACCAGTTTGTCTGGTGTGAATAACCTGCTGAGAGCCAAAACTGGCGCCCGTTGCCCCACGCCTTCAGGGCAGTCCAATGGGGCAGAGTGTGCCACCATCTGAGTATGGGGCACTAAGTGGGATATGGGTGATGCTCATGTGACTGGCTAGAGCTTTGGGGTGGGGTGGGGGCTAACTACTATTTTTTTTGGCCATGATCTCTTTCCCCTTCCTTTTTTTTTTAATTAAATAAATGGATCAAAATTAAATAATTCAAGCCCTGCCTTCAAAATGAATTTTTTTTTTTTTTTTTAGTATTGTTTAGCAAAAACAATAAAAACCCAAATTTTTTTAACCATCACTCATGTCTCAGGTTTGTGTGTGCTTTTTAGAGGAAGAGGATCTGAGAGTATGTGTGTTTGGTTTGACTTTTCCCTTTAGTTTCTTTCCTTCCTCCTCTTTACCCTCTTCCACTCCTTGAGAACTCATCCAGAAATACCGAACGAAGTGTGTAATTTAAGAAGAGCATCCAGGGTTGAGAGTTGTGTAAAAGTGGAATAGGAGAAGAAAGGGGCTGGATATATTCATAAAAACCATTTGTAACGAGGAAAAATGAGAGAAGACTGAGAAGTAAACTTTGATATTCACCTGCCATTGGCCAGAACTTAAAGTACCATGCCTTTGATTTAATAATATATGGAAATGTAGACTTCTGGAGAAGGTAAAAGGGGGGAAAGTGAAGAGACCTCACAAGATCTAGAAAACCTAAGAGGTATAATTAAAAGAGTGAAGGTGATTAGTGGGAAATAGCAAGCCCAGGAGGAAGTTCTGTGTCACATGTCCTATGTTATCACTCCCTCCCTATTCACCTCTAGTTCTGTGAGTGGGAGATGGTACTATTTCTGGTAGGAAGCGCTTTTTTTTTTTTTTTAATCCTCACCTGAGGATATTATTTCATCTTTTGTTTCAGATAGAATGGGAGGAAGAGAGAAACATTGACGTGAAAGGGACGCATCGACTGGTTGCCACCTGCACGACCCAACTGGGGCCTGGGACAAACTGCAACCTAGGTACATGCCCTTAACGGAAACTGAACCCAGGTCTCTCTGGACCGCAGGCTGATGCCCTAATCGCTGAACCAAACTAGCTAGGGCGGAAGCACTTTTTTGTTGTTAATTCTTACCTGAGAATATTTTTTTCATTGATTTTTGTTGTTGTTGTTTAGAGAGAGTGGAGGGGAAGGAAAAGAGAGAGAGAGAGAGAGAAACTTCGATGTAAGAGAGAGACTGTGGCCAGGGATTGAACCTGCAACCCTTTGGTGTGTGGGCTGACGCGTTAACCACTGAAAACACCTGCCAGGGCAGGAAGTACTTTTGACTCTTCAGTTTTAGTTTATGAAGTGATGTGGGGAAACTTTTAAAAAAATCTTTTTTTTTTCTTTATTGATTTTTAGAGAGAGGAAGGGAGAGGGAGAGAGACAGAAACATCAATAAGAAAGAACATTGATTGGCCATCTCCTGCATGCCACCCACTGGGGATTGGGCCCACAACCTGGGCATGTGCCCTGACTGGGGATTGAACCGGTAGCCTCTTGGTGCATGGGTCGATGCTCAACCACTGAGCAACACCAGCCAGGCAATGTGGGGGAACTTCAAGCAGTTCGAGAGACAAGAATTAGTATCGTGGGAAAGACAGGCAGTGAAGGGTAGAAAACAAGGGCTTTGGAGACAGACAGAAAGACATTGATGTGAGAGAGAAACTTATCAGTCGGCTGCCTCTCACAGTCACTCCAACTGGGGATAGAGGCCTTAACCTGGGTGTGTGCCCTGAACCTGCCACCTTTTGGTGTAGTGGATGACGCCCAACCAATGTAGCCATACTAGCCAGGGCTCATATCCTTACATCTTTATTTTCTCACCTAGTGACTGCAGATAAGTTATTTCACCTATCTGAACCTTAGTTTTCCCAGCTGTAAATATGGAACTAATACCCATCTCCTAGAATTGGTGTGATGGGTTAAATAAGATATTTAAAATACCTGATATTTAGAAGGAGCTCTATAAATGTTAATGTAAATGTTAACTTGGTCCTGAGATGGTTAAGTCTGGATGAGATGGGATTAGATGGTTTCCAGAGGCTCCAACTTTGTTTTAGAAGTGTGTCTAGATGGCATTGTAAAAAGTGAAGATAAATGTAAAATATTTGGGCAGGGGTAGGGGCCTTAGAGCCCTGTCCTCTCAGTCACTCACAGATCTCATCTCTACCACTTCCCTGGAATCCCTGAGGAGTTCATAATTTGAAAACCACTCATTTTACAGAAAGAAGGGGAGTGAGTTCCACCAGAAAGAGTGGCCTGTTAAGAGTACCACTGCTGCCTGTGGTGGGGGAGCTGGAACAAAACCGTGGGCTCTTACTACTGCTTTGTGAGTTTTCAAACTGTTGGCATGTGTACTGCTCACATTTGTTTGCCAGGTTTAGGATGGAACACAGAGGAGACAGGTGAGGGGCAGAAATTGCTCCTTAGATTGAAAGAACATTGGACTGTTGAAGAATGTGGTGCAGAAGTCTTCCATTTATGATGAAACATACAGGTAGTTTTGCACTGTCTCCTTCGCTTTGAGACATTCTCCTTCCTCTCCAAATACACACATACCTCTTTTTTTATCCTCACCCGAGGACATCCTTCCATTTTTTGTTCAGGTAGAGTGGGACGGAGAGAGAGGAACAGAGAGAGAGAGAGAGAAAAACATCGAGTGGCTGCCACCTGCACAACCGACCAGGGCCGGGGACAAACTGCAACCTTACCGGGAACCGAACCCGGGTGTCTCAGGACCGCAGGCCGACGCTCTAACCACTGAGCCAAACCGGCCAGGGCCACACATACCTCTTTAACCCAGCACACACGTTCACTTCCTCATTGCTACATATGCCTTTGGGTTTATTGCTATAGAGCATCCAGTTCGTTTGGTATAAACAGCCTTACTACACTGAGTTGATACTGAATCTGCTATTTAAATTGAGCAACTCGTTACTGATTTCTGTTTAGTGTTTTTGAAAATTTGAAAATTGCTCAAGCACTTCAATATTGTTTCAGGGGCTCCAGCCTGGGAACCGCTGATGCAGGGTAAAGGTTCCTTGACATTTTTTTTTCTTTATTGATTTTTAGAGAGAGAGGAAGGGAGAGGGAGAAGAAACATTGATTAGAGAGAAATCAGTTGGCTCCCTCCAGCATGCCCCCCACTGGTGATTTGGCCCACAACTTGGGTGTATGCCCTAACCGGGAATCAAACCAGTGACCTCCTGGTGCATGGGTTGATGCTCAACCACTGAGCCACACCGGCTGGGCTCCTTGACTGTTTTTTTTTTTTAATCCTTACCCGAGGACAATTTTCCATTTTTTATTCAGATAGAGCGGGAGGGAGAGAGGGGAAGAGAGAGAGAGAAACATCGACATGAAAGGGACACATTGAGTGGCTGCCACCTGCATGACCTGACGAGAGCCAGGGACAAAGTGCAACTGCAGTACATGCTCTTAGCGGGAACCAAACCTGGGTCTCTCTGGACCACAGGCCGATGCTCTAACCGCTGAGCCAAATCAGCCAGGGCTCCTTGACTTTTTTTTTGTTTGTTTTAATCCTCACCCGAGGACATTTTTCCATTTTTTGTTCAGGTAGAGTTGGGGGGGGGGGTAGAGAGAGGAACAGAGAGAGAGAGAGAGAGAGAGAAACATCGATGTGAAAGGGACACATCGAGTGGCTGCCACCCGCACAACCGACCAGGGCTGGGGACAAACTGCAACCGAGGCACGCGCCCTTAGCGGGAACCGAACCCGGGTCTCTCAGGACCGCCGGCCGACGCTCTAACCGCTGAGCCAAACCGGCCAGGGCCTCCTTGACATTTTTGAAGCTAAGAAGGTGTGTGTTAAAATCTGTTCTTTCATAAGACATACTGATTAAGGAAGGAGTAGGTTTTCAGTCATACAGAAATAGAATCTACTGTCCTGTTGACAGGGAGGATACCATGGTGAGAATGTATAATATTAGAAGCTACAATGTACAAGATGAGTGGTGAGGGTGGGAACAGAGTGGTCATCTCAGTTGGAAGATGATCATTGTTTATGTGGCAGATTTGTTTTCCCATTACTGCTGCAGGCTATGGGTGCCAGAGAATACCCTTTTAAGAAACTTGAAATCATCATCCCGTAACTGCCTAAACTTCTGGGGTTTAATACCATGAAGTACCTTACAGGTGAAAAGGGGATGCTATTGGGCTGCCATCCATTGGTAATGGACTGCTGCTGGGTTATAACATTTCAAAACAAGTTCTTCTATGTTCTTATATGGCTTATTACAGGAAACTTAGAAAGTAAGTTAGACATTTTCCATCTCCCACCTAAGACATTGTTGACATTTTTTATACCCTCTAGGTTCTAAGATGCTTTGTCCTGTCCCTTGCATTTCTGAAAATGCAGTGCACTTCGTAATGTCTAAAGAAACTTGTCAACTCATTCCCTCATCCCTGCCCCATAAAGTGCACTTTATAATCTGTTGGCATGTTAGATGTGCGATATGGCTCAGCGGTTAGAGCATCAGCCTGCGGTCCAGAGAGACTAGGGTTCGGTTCCCGCAAAGGGCATGTACCTCGGTTGCAGTTTGTCCCCGGCCCTGGTTGGGTTGTGCGGGTGGCAACCATTCGATGTGTCCCTTTCGTGTCGATGTTTCTCTCTCTCTCCCACTCTATCCAAACAACAAAAAAATGGAAAGGTGTCCATACAGCCTAGTTATTGAGTTCTGTCTTCTCTGTCTTATTACAATGCCTTGCTTCAAAGCTACCTCTGAAGCCATTATTGATAATTAAAATGGAAAGTGATTCCTGTAATTTGTTTATGTCATATGTCATATGGCATGTATGACTTGTATTTACTTGTTTAGGTTTATCTCTAGTGGCCTAATGGGGAATTTTGAGGCTCTAAGGCAAGGATTATGACTTAACACATGTTTGTATTCCCAAGCACCCAGTCATTGAGATAAGACTGAAGGTAGTTTTAAAAGGCATCAGTTTAATAACTAAGTTGTCTGAGCCAAGGTAAAAAGTGATCCAGGACTGACTGGTTTTGAAGAGTTTGAAGTCAAGTTTGAAAAGAGGACAAGGGACCAGTAAAGGACATGGGAGGAAATGGGAAGGAAGGTATACCTTGTTCCAGCTTGAGAAGCAGCAGAGCTTGCCCCAGTTTCTCCAGAGCAGACGCAGGCAACTGGGACGAAGACTGGTCAGATTGTGGCCTCCCTGTCCCATTTTCCTTTAATTTTCAATTTTGAGAAAAGTTTCTTCCTGAACTGGCAAGGTGAGGGTAAGGCATAT